GTCTTGCTACAATTCGGTCGTTCGTCCCACTCCCTATTCTCAATCTTTCGTGACCAAGGGACCTCGTCACATTCCCGCGGTACCGATACGCTGCGATATGTCCCGGTTTTGGGTCAAGGTGGCCGGCTTGGTGCTCTTGACGATGAACAATGACGGACAATTGGGGATCGATTTTCTGGCGAGAGTTGCTGGTCTGGCTGGTAGCCCACCGGGACAAGGAGGGCACCCACCATGCCCCAATGCTCAACTGAGATCGGAAGCGGAGCAGCTTGTTGTTGTTGATGTCGCACAAGATCCACAGAGGCGGACATGGTACACTCTGTTCGATCCGCAGACCAGGGCGCATTTGCTTCCCGGATGGAACATTTGCGCCAGTTGTGCAGTACACGTGATGACTTGTTGTCCTGCTGTCGCTGGAGGGTTCACGCCCATTCAACCACCTCCTGGAGGCAAGATGACATGCGCATTGGTGCCCTCGGAGCACTACGACGATCCGCGAACGATGGCGATATTGCAACAAATTGCCGGATGTGCGGTGACCTCAGGGTTCATGAGAAGACCCGATATGAGTGCTTTGGTCCAGTGGCTGAGGGCTAACTTGCCACCTCCAAGAGGGCCTGGTGTTGGCGCTTCTCAAGGAATGCCGGGTGCGTTTGGCGGCGCTCCGCCTCCGCCTAATGGTCTCTGTCCGAGGAATTATCCGTCCACGACACTTCGGTGTCATACCATGCAGGGATTGTTCGACTTCACTGTGTGCGAGCAGTGTTACACAGAGGTTATTGAACCTGATGTCCGTCAGGGTGTCGAGCTGGTAGGGAGATTAGATCCAGCCCCTGCGGTGGTAGGCGGTCCTGGGTTCACTTGTCAGCTGTACTCTGATCGGATGAGGAGGGTTTGGAAGGAGGCAGTGAGTATGGGAGAGCCGATGGGCTTGGAGCATTTGAGGGCCAAGGTGAGTTTTCCTCCACAGATGCCTGGTATTGTAGCGATGGCATTGACTGACGTTGTCTTTGAACAGGTCACCGAACGAAAGGTCAAAGAGCGCGAACTCCAGATGAAGACTGCCCATCTCCAACAGCAAGCCGCCTCCCTACGCATAGAAGCTCAAACTAAGGAACACCTGGCTATTAACGCCATGCGGGTGTCTTTAAGCGCGGCTAGTAACAACATCATGCTGGCTGGAATAGGTGCCGGTAGGAGGATCGATGCGTATACCATTGAGGTTCCTAGCGGTCAGGTAAGCTCTTCTTCGGCTTCGTTCCTCGATGTCTTTCTTCATGCTAATGGGATGGAACTATAGGCCGACTTGAGCCAGACGACGCAGCTTAACAACCAGGCGGCCATGTTGAAGGTGCAGGCTGGCCAGGCGGAGGATCAAGCTCGGATGGCGCAGGACGAGTGGAGGAGGTTTTGGGAGTAAGAGCCAGGAAATTGGGAGGGGGCAAGGGCCGATGAAGGGATCTGGAGTCCAGTCATGCCCTGAAAAGGCTTTCGATGACCTCCCAATGTCGTCGAAAGGGATGAAGGTCAAAGCTTGACATTGCTCTGTTGGGAAGTAAAGGGTTTGTGTGGTTTATGGCAAAAGGAATACAACGATGGTCTTTGTCGCATCAAGCGGGTGGTTGGCACCCGCTTGATGCGACGGATTTGACAACCAGCGCTTGACAGGGGCACTGGTGCACTGTGCAGGTTTTGTTGTAGGTAACCGCTTTCGCGTCCTGCACACACCCGGTCTTGGGACAGATAATGGCAGACTCAGTAACCGCGATTACGAACTGTGTGAGAATTTCTTGTACGGACGTAGATGCCTTCAAAAACACGGCAGACCGAAACGCAGGCAAGTGCCAACCGCCCGCTCGCGGCTTCCCGTTGGCCGATAACTCTGCCCGGGGTTTTCCACTTTGGAGGCAATTGGTACTAGATTGTTACCAACGCCGTTCTTATTTCCATTGAACCGCAATATCCCCCAGCGCATTATCACCAACTGGAAGTCGCAACCGCCAGCTTCATCCTCCCCGCCGTGGTGTTCAAACACTCTTTCATCACACCCGATTGATAACGCAAATCACGAATCCCGAATCCTACCGCCTGGATACCATCACCAATCATTTCTTCTCATTAACATCAACATCGCTCATAGCCCTGTTATCGCCCTACGTCAGGCAGATCCAAGTGCTCCTTTTTCAGGTATCGGCTCGGTTTCTATCAAAGAAATTTCTGATGCCGGTATTTCTACTGATATCCATCCCTCAATACTCGACCGTCGTGCTGACACTGACGCGCGCGTAGCTCACTCGTCCTTTGACCACGCGGACAACGAATTCCCTTCCTACTGAAGCCATTATCTTCCATGCCCAAACTCCGTCGCCCCAGATGGCGGGTACTTGCTTGAGGGGCGGAGTAAGCTTCGCACTTCGCAAGCCAACATGGTTATATCAGGCCAGTTCAGTCCATAGATGAACATGTTTTCTTTGTCCGAGGCCAGCGACTTCATCTCCAGTTGGAAGGTGAAGCGCGTCGGCATCGTAGAAGATGAGAAATCAGGTATATAACAACCTGCTCTCGAGGGTTCTTGAACAGATGGAGACGGAACTCAATGACATCTCGGGAACACGACCCTCTGTATCTCAGATATCTCTTGAACAGATCAATTCACCATGGCCACTTCCGCTTCAGTCACCACCACTCCCTCCAGCTCTAATGCACAGCAATCCCTCAAACCCCAATTTCTTCCCTCCTCCCTCTCCTCGCTTGCTGCCTCCGCCATCATCAACCTCCACCCACAAAAGGTCGTCCACATGACCACCTATCTACACGACGCCTACATATCCTTCTCCATCCCCATCCCCCCGTCCTCTGATCCAAACACTCCAAACCCCTGGGCTGGTTTCAACCCCCACCAGGAACGTAAACACTTCCAATGCTTCCTCCATCTCTGCGACCCTCTGACCGGCAAGTCCATCAACAACGGCCGGGGCGGGATGAAGGGGCTCATTGTGCACCAGACGCCCCTGACCGACAACCGGCGAGGTGGCGAGCCCAACGAGGTGGTGCTGGGAATGGCATGGCGAGAGCGAGATCTTGGAGATAAGGAGTATGGTATTTGGGCATATCACGGCGTGGAAGAAGGAGGGACGTATGTGCCTAGGTTTATGGCGGTTTACAAGGGAAAGAGGGTGGATGCGGAGGAGAGAAAGAGGCCTTTCTTCGCGGTTTATGGGGAACCATTCACGGTTCCGGTTGTGCCGGATGAGGCGGAGGTCAAGGAGGGGATGTATGACTTTAGGAGTAAGTTGACTTGCTTTGACGTGGGAAGTGAGCATCAGGAAATCGGTTGGCAGCAGCTAACAAAACGGTTGTAGATGAAGAGGAAGAAACGTGGTGGTGGCGTGTCAACCGCGAATATGTTCAGAACAGCATCATTAAGGGACCCAAGACAGGTCAGCCCACCGCCCAGGTCCAGGCCCAGGCCCAAACCCGTTATCAGTTCGTACCTGGATTCGGCTACGATGAGTTACCCCGTGGAAGGGGTCTTACTTCAGTCGAAGACGCGGGGAGACCTCCAGTCCCGAATCCGTGTCGTCGAGCGAACCTCGTATTCTGGATCGGCCTCAGACGACGCCCTATTGGTAGACATGTCGGAATAGGATGACAGTGGATGAGGACCATGAGGAAGTGGACCTTGAGATCTGAAGGTCCAGAGACTTCGTTATTAAGGATTTCTCAAGCATCCCCCAACTGCACACACTCAAGCCATCCTTGTACGCGCCGAACCGGACGTGTATAGAACTGAAACTGGAAAGTGCCCACCCACCACTGCACCTCCACCGGTGTATCATCCAGCAGCGCCCTGGCAATTCTGCCCGTCGCCAACCACCCGTCTCGTCTGAGGCCATAAGACCATCCATTGCTTTACCAACTCACCATGAACCACCAATTTTCCTGTCCTTCCCAACGGCGCAATGCCAGATTTGTCCTCATTGAACGACACTTGACCCCCTCCAGCTCCGGTGCTCGTACCCAGGCCACCAACGTAATGGAACTCCCTCACGCAATTTCTTCGAGCAGTTTTTGCTACCAACTATTATACGCACGCCGAAGATATTCTTCCAGGCCTTTGTCGTCTTCGGCGTCAATCTGTTGGTGTTGGTAAGGCATTGAGTAACTGAGCACGGTCTTGTTGCGGATTAAAAGGAGTCGACAAAGAGGAAATGATGGTATCATGGTAGGTTGGTTGGGCTAGAAGCTCCTCTGTAGGCGGCATCGTTGTACACTTCTCTTACTAGGCAACTCGCAGTCCACTCCCCGTGATGGTCAAGAGAATGCAGTTGGGAGGCTGGGCGGCGCTTACTGACTTTCGGCCTTGGGAATGTGTTTCTAGCGTTGAGTATGTACGATGGTTCATTGACAGTGGTGAAGAGGTAAAAGATAAAAGGGCCATCTGCCCTCACCCTTCCTGGATGATCTGACGAGTAGTAACGCACAATTAACACTGCCGTAGCATCCGCCCTTTGTCGAGGCAGGATAGCACCGTGCTCAAAAAGGATGACTAGTGTACCAGGGCAACCTGTTGTGACAACGGAGTGTCAGGTTGAGCGCTGAAAAAGAAGTGTTATTCTTGTGAGGATCGGTTTTGGGTATAGGGTACCAAAGGATGTGGAGAATTTGTTTGTTTCCTCAAGCTTTTTCAATTTGGCTCAGCTTCGTGTACTCTTACTACCGGGATTTTGGCTTTCTGCGTTGGAATGAATAGCTGGGAATGATATGGTCACAGTCATAACCAAGATATCAAGGATGGATGGTATGTAGTTTCGGCAATACGAATTCGTTCTTGCCCATAATCTTGTTTTGTGTGTGTGAGTGACATGACTGTGATCTTTTACGTGAGAAAAAAAAAAAAAAAAAAAAAAAAAAAAAAGAAATTGAGGAACAACAGTAAAATCGCAGCAGTTCGGCAACAAAGGCCAGGGCGATAAAACAGGGTAAAAAAAATGAATGGTCTCTCCCGCCGGGAATTGAACCCGGGTCTCGAGCGAAATCGAAGAACTGATGATGTTCAAGCTTGACAAGCTCACATACTGACCACTATACTACGGAAGATATACAGCTGTTAATCAGCTGTCGTAGTTGGATGTTCATTGTCGTCCGCTGTGGGCCTTATATGCTTCCAATATTTGCCTTTAATGAGAAACCATGTTTCCTCTCATGAACTTCCCGACCCGGCACCGACATGTGCAGTTTACCATTGCTCCCAGTTCTCCCGCTGGCGGGAAGGTTGGATCTGCTAAGGGTGTTTACTTTTTCCAGGTATTGTAATCAGCCTTATAAGGCTGTATCCAGTAATTCCTGATGTCCTTTTTTGTCAACTGTGGAATGTTTGGATACACGTGGACAAGCACTCGGCCTGGGATGAAGGGAAGCTGGACTTCTTCTAGCTCGGGTTATCTCCGTTGGTTACAACAAAGAACATGATGTTGTGGATGTTTCCTTGAACGCAGCCGTTACCTGCTCTCTTTGGGTCAATTTGGGTATGCAGTTTTGGCAAATGCTATTATTCGAATTCGTCTATTGCCCCGAATCTGATCTCTCGTCGTTTGATATCTGGACAGTGATTCCGGCCACCCGCTTTCGTCTAACACTGGCCGGGTAACTCAGCCATCCTCGCACTATACCCATTGCGGTTAGGGTTGTCACACCTTAAAGAGACGTCGTGCTTACTGTGGAGTGGCTCAGGTTCTCTCACTCATGTGCTCTCAAAGATATTTTCAACCAAGCAATCACAACTGAAGGCCTGGCCACATCCACAGCTTATCTCTTCTTCCTACTCAACCTGGGCGCATGCATCATGGGGTGCGCAGTCTGCAACAATCTCCAACCGGACGAGGAGACCCCTTACCGCGTGAGTTACCTACCTACCTACTTTCCACCATCATCACCCCGTTCCTCACCCATCGGCCATCAACCACCGACTAACATCCATCTCAAACCCTAATTCTAGTACACATCCCTCGAAGCCCTCAGATCTTCATCCGTCAATGGCTGTCTCCACTGCACTTTCATTCTGGACGCCTCCGTCCATTTGAACCTGTCCACCCCATCCAACTATGGCGGGGAACGCCCCATCTTCATCTCCCTCCAACCTTCCCCTTCCATGGACTCAACGATAATGTGGGCCACCGCCGACAAAGAAACGAAGTACATCCAGATCTACACCCCCCTTGGTCACCCGCCTGCCTGGGCAGGTATCTCTCAAGGGTTGGAACTTTCTCCCTCGCCAGACTCGGACGAAGCCTTTGCTTTCATCAAGTCTCAACTTCAGGAGTGTGACGCCAACCACCCCAAGTGCAAGGTTACGAACGCGAAACCACCGACCCGTCTGATAGACGTCCAGTTCTCCTCACCAGGATACGTCCGTCTCGTCGAGACCGCCTCGTTGCCAAAAGCCGTAGAGGTCCCCTACATAGCCCTCAGCTACTGCTGGGGCGTAAGCAAGACCGTGACCACCGTTTCATCCAACTATCAAATCCACACTAAGCAAGGGTTTCTCGTCTCCTCCCTCCCCCAGACCCTGCAAGATGCCATCACCGTCACCCGCCGTCTCGGGCAGCGATACCTGTGGATCGACGCGCTCTGCATTATCCAAGATGACCTCGCAGATTGGGAAGTCGAATCAGCGCAAATGGCTACCGTTTACCGGAATGCTTATCTGACAATAGCAGCGGGCACGGCAGCTTCTTCTGACGAAGGGTTTTTGCTAGGAAGGAGGCACGCCGCCGGCGAGCCAGGTAACCAAGTCTATCAGGTCCCATGGAAAGCTCAACATGAACCCGAACACGGACATGGAGAAGACACGTGCAGTGAAACGACAACGCTAGCAGCCCGCATCCTCCCCTACTTCGCGCATTCCCCCATGCACCCTTCCTCCCAACAAAACCTTATCCTCCCGCTCGACACCCGCGGCTGGACCCTCCAAGAACGCGCGCTCTCCACGCGCCTCCTCCGCTTCGGTACGCACGAACTGCAATGGTCCTGCCTCTCCGCCCCCTGGGCTTGCGAATGCGGACACAAAGAGTACCCCCCGCCCTCCGTCTTCTCCCTTCGCCCCATCTCCACCATCCAAGCCTGGACCTCCACGACCACAACTACAGAGCCCGACCCGGCCGATCCGCACCGCGACAAGGAGACGCAGATCATGCATTTGTGGCAAAACTGGGACTCGATCGTGACGGAGTACAATGCGAGACAACTAACGCAGTATCTCGACAGATTACCGGCTGTGAGCGGTATGGCCAAGGTTTTTGCACATCTGACGGGGTCGAGGTACGTGGCTGGGTTGTGGGTGGATAATTTTTTGAGGAACCTTTGCTGGTATCTGGATAAGAGTGAGGAGGATGGCCAAAAGGGAGTTGTGGCAGTGGGGGAGTACTACATAGCGCCGAGTTGGAGCTGGGCCAGTTTAGGGAGAAGGTGCAGTGTCAAGATGCATAATGAGATGTTGTACCCGGATGCGAGGAGGTTCGTGCCGAGGGCGGAGGTGGTGGAGGTTGAGGCGGTGACGGTGGGGAAGAACCCTTTGGGGAGGGTGAGCGATGGGTGGGTTAGGATGAGGGGAGTGCTGAAGAAGGGGGTGTTGGTGGTGAAGGAGGAGATGCCGAAGACGCCGGTTGAGACGAGGTATTCGGTTAGGTTTGAGGGGTTGAAGGGTGTGGAGGTTAGGGTTTGTCCTGATACGTTATTGGAGGAGTTTGAGGTCGTTGGAGAGAATGGGGAGAAAGTACGATCGGTGAGACGGGCGCGGGAGGGGACGAACACCAAGGAGGACGAGAAGGTGTCGGGGAGTGAGGTGTATCTCTTTCTGCTGGGAAATTTCATAACGATCAACCCGCGGAAGGTGCAGTCAATATCGCTGGACTTTCTGGTGCTCGGACTCTCTCCGAGGAAGGGGAAAAGAGGGGTTTATGAGAGGATAGGGTATGGGTATACCGAGCCGATGTTCACGGTTCAGATTGAGGATTATGTTGATCTAAGGGGTCAAGAGTTGGTCACCATTGTATGATAGTTGGATGGGTCAGGTGGCCTCGCAGTTGTACCATATTCTTTTTGGATGTCTCAACAGTTCCGAGGAGTTCCGTGAGTTTCACAGGTGTATCTTCCAGGCTCTTCAGCAGCCCGGCGCCCCTGATTGCACCCTTTGCCGCCAGATCAGCAAACCGAGGTGGCATGCAGCAGCCACAGAGGGCAATTCTGATAATCGATGCCGGGCCATGTATGATGAGGCGGGAAGCGATAAGTTGATGATGCAGGATTGGCAGGACATGTCCAGAGTTGTTCAGGGCGGAGAGGGAAGAACGCTTATGACTCTTGGGCATGTTCAATAATGGACGATGCCTCCTTCCACACCCAGTTTGTCTAGGCAAGTTCAGCACAACGCTGCCTGGCTGACTGCATGATGAGCCATTGAAGCTCCTGTTCGGTGGGAGGCGCAGCCAGGCACTTGGAAACTATAGCAGGTTTCGCTTGAAAACTTTTTGACTAGTACCATGGAACCGAGACTAACCGAAAGCCTCTTTCCCTCGACTTCTCGAATATTCCTCCCCTTTACTGGAAACAATAGTACCGCGTCATTCATATCACAAGAAGTTGCAAGAAACGGCCTCCTCTCCCAAGCCAATTCGTAATCTCACCCAGCACATCTTTTCCCGCGCGCACAAACTCGATGTAAGATTCGGGCATGTGGTGCGAGGCGCGGGGGTCAGTGTCTAGGTAGGAAGTGGACTTTACGAGGAGAGTGACGGGGATAGAGACAGGAGAAGGCCCGAGTGGCCGGCGACGTCGACGATGATTACAGTGATGGGTGGCATGGTTTGTAGAGGTTGATTTCACATAGTAACTGTTCTTCTGGGAGTATGTTTCCAAGGGTGTTAGCTCGGAGATTGATGTTTCCAGGAGGAAGAAGCAGACCACCTCGTGCTTGTGATGTTACGTTTGCAATGGGGATGAGCAATTATTGAATATTTCTATTCGCACGTCTTTGTGCATCAGGTACCATGCAGGGTGCTTGCCGGTTATTACCAACGGCTTCATGGACGGGACAAGATTGCAACAACGGCACGACCCCGATTGATAAAGTGCGGTACAATGTAACGGGAACGGCATTAGGTATGCTGATGGTCGTATTCATGATTCTAGTGCTTCTAGGGTCTAGGTAATGCTCGTATGTCTATGGCAGTGTATCGAGGACCGGGTGTGTCCAATAATGGTTCTTCTGTGTTTAGGCCTTGCACAAGCACAACTTATGCGAGAACAGCTTATCAACCAGGCTCACAACGCCGTCAATGAGGTCGCAGAGGCCGAAGCCCTTGTTCCATCCCTTGCCGGAGAGGTAGGCGTCTCTGACCTTGAAGAATATGGAGCCCTGCAAATACCTTGTTAGTACACCACTCGGCAAAAGCCTCATGCATAGCAGAGAGAAACTCACATCATAAACCCGCCTCAAATCTTCCTTATCCACCAACCCATCCTTCTGCACCAACAACAACCACACCAACCCAAACTCAAAGATAGCCGAAGACCAGCCAAACGGGTCCGCAGCGAGCCTTTTGGCCGACACTATGTTCCAGAGCTCTCGTGCGGACAGTGCGGCCTTGTTTCCCTTGTCAAACTCGCTGAACAAGTCCTCAAACGCCTGGGGGACGAACCGCCCTTCCGTATCGTAGACTCCCGAATCCGAGCCGTGCTTGGCCTTGTGGATGGATGGTACGTATACCCGGAAGAAGGGGTCGGGGAAGTACGAGAAGGCGAGACGGGTCGGGTACGAGAAGCCAAAGACGATGACTATTGTGGCGAGAAGGCAGAAGAAGGCGTTGAAGCCGAGCTCGTAGAAGCCCGTGAAGACGTCTTGGGGCCAGATCTGGCCGTCGCGGTCGCGGTCAAAGAACATGACGTGTTGTTGGAGGACGGACTGTGTGGGGAGAGAGGTTGGACGTTAGCGGGTGGACTGGGGAAATGGGAGACAGAGAGGAGTGAGTGACATACATAGTCCTGGAGGTTCAGGGCGTCGACATATGCGCAACTGCCCTGGGGCCGTTCCGTCGAGACGG